TGTCAAACAACGTCTATACAACAGAAGGAGACTGCGACCACACAAAAGGCCACACCATCTTGGTCTTCATACCTTCCCTTTTTGAGTTGGTCCAATTGGACTTTTCATTTTGAAGGGAAAATTGGTTGGAAGAAACTCATGAATTGGCCTCGCCGAAAAAAGGAATGGGATTTGTCTTGAAAAAGTCAAGACTGTTGAGCCGACAACGTGTTGGCACAATGCCTCGATCTTCAATTCAACGTCACTTCATGCATTCCTCCCAGTCACTTATTTTCTTCCAAATATGCCAAATATGTCACAATTTGTTTCACCTTATCTTCAGGGCGCCCTCGAGTCCGCCCTTGCTTAATCAAGCTTGGCTCTGCTCCTCTTGACGATGCAGCGATGTATTGTGACACGACTTTCCATTTCGAAGGAAGTGTTGCCAGGAGAGAATTCGTGATGTGATCTCACCGGAAACCGAAAGAGGATTGCTGACTGTTGAAATGTGCGAGAAAGTCCTGCGATCTCGTCTTCCACCCTGACAGGCGTCATCTGAGCAAAATGGAGTTAAAATAGGCTAAACCAAGAGAAAAGGTTGCCGGCTGCAACCCCAGTCGCTTTTTTGTACACCCAACTTCGCGATCTTAGTGCGGAACTCTTCGGAACCCAGCGTTTCTCCATTTAATGCGGTGGTGCATTTCAGCTAAACTGTCGATCGTCCCGTTGGCACAAGGTCTTGGTTTTCGCGACTGGCTTGTTGCGACTTAGTCGTTTTATGTCGTTTGCCCGAGTATTCTTGATAACTTCCACCCGTCAAATGCTGGATATTATCATGAGAAAGGATGCAGTATTAAGTAGCTCTTTCGCTACGACCAAGTTGTCAAGGTAACACTCCAAATAAGAGTAGTACTCAAAGAAGGTGAAGGAATGAAGTTGAAGTGCCTTTCATTTCGTTTGAAAAGGCGAGTGGAAGAGATTCATACGTTGGCCTCACCGGAAGCTGTAGGACGATTACCTTGGAGCTGTGATTGTAGATTTGTGCGAATAAGTCCTCCGCGCATCAAAACACGAAGACACCAAAGGTGAATTATCGTAATGCATGGTGTCCTGTTCTGACGATGTTCGTCACGTGACAGCCGAACACTTAGTCGCACAAATCTACATTTACAGCTCCAAGGCAATAACCGTACAGCCTCCGGTGAAAGCAAATTGCGAATCCCTTCCACTCGCCTCTTCAATCTATTAGTGGATTGTTCGGAATGGAAGGTACTCCAACATTGATATATTAAGCGATTCTTCGAAAACTAATTTTTCTACATTTCTATGAAGGAATGAGATCGCCTCAATGTTACAGTGAATTTTGCATAGTTTTGTATCTAACACGATATTATAATTGAATCTTGTTTTTTTGGGTATTTTATAATAGGGCTATGGGAGCGGATGAGACGGAGCTAGGCCGGAATTGAGGTCCAGCCTCGCTGAAAATGCCTGTTTAGTATCTAAGTTATGCGGAATTTCATAAAAACGTGAAGTCTTCTCATAGCATTGTTGGAAGATTCAACTATCAGCACTCATGCTATCTGAGGAGAATAGAACTTTAATTCAAGATATACTAATACCTTTGTAGTCTATTCACTATGAATGCAACTCTCTAAATGGTTACGACTCTGATAGACTATTTGTGCGTCTGAACTATTAAACAGGATTTCGTGATTGTTAATACAGCGCTATTATGGCAGCATAATTCGACCGAATTTGACGATAGACACGTGTCTGTCGCCTCTTGATAAAGCCCCATCATAAATATTAGTTGATAAAAGCCAGTCTTGTCTTAGGCTTGTGCATTGACCGTGTGAAACGAGTGGTGTGCTGTCCTCCTGACTCGCCTTTCTCCGATCCGAACAGCTTGGAGGAGCTGATGCGACTTAGACATGTTCATAAATGTCCTCCGCCATGAAGGAGCGACAGGTCATACGGCATTGTACATGTCGAATCTTCTTTCCCTTTCAGTGTAGTTAGTTCAACTGTAACCAGCCCTCAACACCATACAACAGTGAATCCTCAGTGATGGTCAATAAATGGATGCAACAATGATCTATAAAGCTGTTTGAAGTGTCACTTTGGATCTTTGGATTAGCTCCTTCCGCGTCATTTTCATTATATAAAACTCCCTGCGAGCCAGCATCCTAGCCTTTCAGAGGCTTCTCACAAAATACTTTTCAATTACTGAACATTTTTTACAATTTATTTGAAACTGAAGTTACCTTCCTGTAGATATTAACTTTTCCATTTTCGTCCCAGGTGACTCTTTCTAAACCCACTTTAGCTTCCACTTTACTTTTATGTGCTGCCTGTATTTTGTCTGATGAACCCGTAAAGCTGACCAGCATTGTTTTATCCTACTCCGCAATCATCTTGCATATTCGATTACTAGTCAACTGGTGACCATTGCAGTTGTGCAGTATTTGAGTTGCCCTTTTCGATTCAAAGTCCCAAAACATGCATCAAAACAATTTCTTTTTACTGAATTTGCATTGCTTTATATTAGGTTTATTGTTCGAAAGCTTTTATATTAATTTCTTTGGTCTTGCCTGCTTGATCATTTTAATGTTGTAAACAATGTCCTCATCTCGCCTAATATCAATGTACTTCTTTCTGGAATTTTCACTTAGGACAACAAACCTTATCTTTTGATCGAAGGTATGAAGACCAAGATGGTGTGGCCTTTTGTGTGGTCGCAGTCTCTTTTCGTTGTATATAAGCTGTTTGACCTTGTTTTCACAACTTGGTCATATTGGTAGGAAGACTTAGGGGAACTCACTTAGTCGTGTGGTGCTAAGAATGGCGAGGCTCACTGACGATGCCGGCGAAACGTCTGGAAATGTACAACGTCCACGGTCCGACTTTGGAAATGATCATGCGTACAATGGACTCCGGACTAGGTGCGTTCCTCTAAGTCCCTCTACCAATATGACCAAGTTGCGAAAACAAGGTCAGACAACCTCTTTCTTATATTTTGATGTTCTCTCCAACATTCTCGGTCCACATTACTTTTAACTATTCAGGATTTTCATTTTTATTTCACTTGATTTATGACTTTTGTGTCTCTGGAACTGACTTCAGTCGTGTCGTCACTTGTTTTTGCAAGAATAAGCCCAATCAGGAGTTCTTATTTTTTGGCTGACGAATTTGTTTTGACTCAGTTGCATTGTTAACTCTAACTCCAGTCTGATAGAACCTATAATTCGGCTTTCTGATTTTCTCCTGGACTCATATAAAGTAATGCTAATTTTCTAAAAATTTAACCCCCTTACAGACCTTGATTCTTCAGTTATGTGGTCATCCTTGTCCTTTATCAGGCCCTTCGTATAAATGTTATATTTGGCATCTCTAGCCGTTTCGTACTTCGATAAATGCTATTTCTTTCTAAGGTATGACATCTATGCAAAAATTTGGCATTGCTCCAATTAAAGCATAAGCTTTAAAAATGCAATTTGTGAGCTCCATCTAATCTGTCAACAAAGTCAAAGACCTTTAGATTAACTTCGTTTCCAGTCAATTTTCTCGTCCACACTGTGCCACACCCTAAAGATTATTACCAAGCTTTAATCGGTATTCTGTCATTACTCTTGGTAGCTCTACCAAAACTGAACTATGAATCACTTTCATTGCGGAAATTCGCCTGAATTCCCTAAGTTGATGGTATCCTGTCCAGATGAATTTGGAGGATGAACGAGTTAAGGTCTATGCTGGGGGCCTATACTGCTGCTCTCAAATCATGCTATCTTAATATCATAAAAAATTTCGTGAAAATCAGAACTATCTGTCTGTGAATCTCCTCAATTTTTTCTTTTTCAGTTCATCATACATTATCCGCTCAGCTCACCGAATACGCTAGATAAATATACACATGTTTATCTGCTCTAGATTCGAATTTTTCTAGGTGTTGTAGACTGGAAAATATTTTTGTATTCTGATAAATTCTCTCGTAAAATTTCTTGCTTCTTTCATAGCTTCTGCGTTTCATTGAGGCATAGGATTCCCCAAAACTTTTCATCTCGTGTCACTTTGTTTCCCCTATCATATATGTCACAGTTAAAATAAATATTCCTAAATGAAGAAAGATTACTTTAAGTATTAGTTCTCATGCTTGATTTCCAATACGATGCTTCATACACTATTGGTAACCTTTTTCATAACATTACTGCTAAGGCAATGCGAAAGCACAATGCTGATTTTATGCCCAAAAGGGTTAGGGAATTCTTGTTTATACCTATGTACATGCGTGTCGGCATGCACTTATTCAATATGGTTAGAGGAATTTAGACAAAAAGATAAGTTGTTACTCTGTGCTTACGATGGCGCCTCTCACTGACGATGCCGGCGAAACGTTTGGGAATGTACCCAGCCAATGGT